TGTAATAAAATACTTTAATATTGTAAATGTTTCCTCAGCGCGGCAGCATCAGAGTCGACTCAGTGAACGACTTTGCCTACGGATCGGAGATTCTCATCAACACCACGGACAAGGTGATCCAACACGTCATCTCATTTTCTTTCAGATTCAGGCACTGCCATCTTGTACTAAAATGAATGGAAGCGTAGTTTAGGAGCTATACTATAGCCAGCCACCAGGAGGCGATCCAGATGTTTTGGCTTCACTTTTTGGGGAGCCATCATGTCATCCGTCATTATTCACAGTGTGTGGTTGTGTTGTGTGTGCAGGTGTGCAGCTGTCCTCCACTGAGCGGCGAGGAGGTGGCCTTGAGGGCGGAGAAGCTGCAGGGTCACGTATCGTACAGTCTGCTGTGGTACAACTGCGAACACTTCGTCATGTACTGTCGATACGGAACCCTCACCAGCTTCCAGACGTTTCAGGTGATGATGATAATAATAATACTACAAAGAGTTCTGTGAATCATTGTTACTAACTCCAACAACGTTGTTAGTATGATGGAGTGTTAGGGCCACAGTAAAGAAAACAATAAAGTCATAATTGAATGGGGAAAAAAGTCCGACATGCCCCCAAACCGCTCGGAAATAATAAAAACCTGAATGAATCAGGCAGTGAACAGTGCTAAACACACACACACACAGATTAAAGCTGATCTCAGATCAGACCTTGTCCCGCTTTAATTGGGTTAAACCTGTTACAAGAAGCTCTTTTGTTTCTGTTCTGTTCTCAGCTAATGACGATGGTGGCGATTATGAAACTACAGAGCTGAGTGTTAGACTGATGGAGAGAATGTGGCGGAGAGCGACATGGAGAGAGGAAGAATGAATAATTATTCATAACTCAGTTACAGGACACACAATAACACCACATCATAATCAGCGTAGAGTAAAACCTTTAGATCACTCAGATCATCTGATGATACAAAAGTCTTGTCAAGTTAAAAAGTTTTACACTATAACAGAACACAGAAATAAAATAAAAGCTAAAGATATAAAACATTTTTGTGCACACTTGTTTATAAGAATAAATGTAATGATTACTCTCTTGTGATCAATGAATTGATCAGAGAATCTGATTCAATTTCTTTTGAAATAAAGAAAAACATTTTATTCTGCAAATATCTGAGGCTTTTGTTCAGTTTTTCTCTGTATGAAATGATTGATGTCCATAATAATGAATTATAATAATAATAGTCTTGTTAATATTTTGTTTCTCTTTTCTTCTCCTCTTCATCAGTTCTGTAAGACGATGAGGAAGCTGTTGATGAGCCAGCGTGTTGCCAAGGTGACGGCGGTGCTGGGGGTGTGTCTGCTCCTCTACCTGCGAGCTGTGACCATGGGCGCCGCCCTGCTGGCCGCCCTGCTGCCCTTCCTCTTCTGGATGGCCTCGTGAAGTGAACATTTGAAGTTCACACGATAATAAAGTTTTTCTGAAAAGGCTCAAGTTTAGTGGAATCCTTTCAATCTGGTTTTTTTTATGTCAATAACCAATATACATTAATTCTCAATAAATTAGTTATGGGCCACATTTTTACCGTGTGGAGCTTCCTATTTTGTGTTGGATTACAAATGTGCATTTTTAAAATGTATTTGTCAGTGACCTTGGTGATGTTCATAAATATAGAGGAACCAGAAGAAAGAAATGATAAAGTTACACAGACAAATGTAAAGTAAACATATATTTTTGTTTTCAATCTTATTAAATTGTATTCATTTTATTTTAATGGTCGGGAATATGATATGATGTATGTAGTATATAGATGTTTTTTTTAATTATTATAATTTTTTTGTTTTGTTTTGTTGTATTTCATTTTATTAGTCATTTAACATGTATTTACTTAGTCTTGATTTATTCATTAATAATTTGTTAGTATTTAATTTATTATACTACTGACATTGTAATAATAATTATGTATATTATTTTTACCTTCAGATGTATTTTTAATCTTATATTATTCAGATTTTCTTAATCATTCTTTTTATTAGATATATTTTTTTATCGTTGTTATTTAATTAAATTAAATTTTTAGTACATGTTTCCTTTTATTTTTCCCATTTATTAATTTACCTTTATTATATTATTCTATATTGTGTTTTATTTTGCTCTGATCTGTTTAATTTAATTTAATTTAATTTTACTTTGATTTATTTTATTTTAGAGAAGGTACCTGTTGTCCCGCCTCCAGGGCAGATGCCTGCACTGATTGGCTGTTCGAGGGACCCATCCTCACGTCAATCAGACTCCGGTGAAGAAGAAGAAGAAGAAGAAGAAACGTTTCGTGCTAAAATGGCGAATGTCAGAAAAGGTGAGTTTTAAAAGTTCACGTCGATAAAACTATCGGAGGAAATTCAAGCTAAAGCTGCGGCTAGCGAACATTAGCCAACTAAACAGAAGCAGATGCGGTATTTTGTGCTAATGTTAGCACTGAATGAACTGTTGCACTTGCTGGTTAGAAAATGATGATGTTCGCGTGGCTAATGATGCTAATCGGTCCTGATGTTAGCTTAACGTCAGACAGCAGAGCTAACATTAGCTTGGTTTGCTCATGAAAATGTCTCTTTACAGTGTAGCGTAGCTAAAGTCATAGTTTAATTAGCCAGTGAGTTAGCTAATAGTGTTAAAATGTTCTTGTAGAACTTATCATGTTGCTGATTTCACTGAAATTTGGAATCACTTTTAAAATGGAGTTGAAGTTAAGTGTGTGTGGTAAAAGCAGATGTTTAATCCTCTGTAAAGTGTCTTTTAGTTCCTTGAACTCAATAAGATGTATTGTTATCATCATCAGTCCATGTCCCATCTGCTAACATGGAGGAGGTGAGGTTGTATAAGCCTATACTACAGCAAGCCACAGAGGGGTGACAGATGATTAGAGTTTACTTTTATATTTGAAATATATATATAAATACATCGATAGTATTATTATTATTTGCAATAATATTAAGTCTACAGTTTATTTCTGTTCATTTGTACATAAATGAACTAGTAATTCCATCTCTAGTCAAAACTCAAAGTAAAAGTAGTTTTTGTATTCCAGTTGTTAAATTTGAAATTTTATTTTGTACATTCATATTTCCCACTCAGACAGTTTGTTGTTTTGTCCGCTATACAGACGGAGACAGAGAGTCTGATGGAGACATGGAGGAAGACCCCGGCGATGTCCATCTGCAGGCATCGTCCTGCAGTAAGCAAATGGCACTGTTCAATCTGATGAAGCAGACTGGCTGCACAATCATGCAGGTGAACGGGCAGAGGAAGTACGGCGGACCGCCGCTCGGTATGTGTCCTCGTGAACTCTGGTCGAGAAGATTTAACATTCGCTTCTCAAGTTTGTGTGACTCGTTATTTTAATGCTTTTTTCATTCCTTTTTTAAAAAGCCAAAAAGTTTCCAGAGATTCTCCAAATTCTTTTTCCAATTAATACAATTTCAGCTGAGATTGAAACTGAGAATCGATTAATCTCTGAAATAGTTTCTGTGTCTCCATGCTGCCAACATCCAGTTGCCGGAGGCAGTTTGTTCTCTGGTTGTTTTTTTCCAATCTTGTCAAAGTGATAAGGCCTTGAATTTGTTCAAATTTGGTACGAATGTTCAGTTGGATTCAAAAATGATCTGATTAGAATTTGGTGTTCAAAGGTCAAGGTCCTTTTTACCTCAGAAAAAAACCTTCAGCCTCTGTTTGGACTGAGACACTTTTATAAAGACTAAGACATCAGCGCTGTCTCCCCTACACCATGTGAAGTACTGCAGGACTAATTAGCTATGGATTCTGGGTAATTTAGGACTTAATAAAACTTACTTGACAAAGATCTCTCTTTGAATCCTCCTGTTAAAGGTGCTCAGCTCTTCTGTTTGTGTTTGTGTGTGTGTGTGTGTGTGTGTGTGTGTGTGTGTGTGTGTGTGTGTGTGTGTGCGTGTGTGTGCGTGTGCGTGTGCGTGCATGTGTGTTTTCCCTCAGGTTGGACGGGGCCGCCCCCCCCACGGGACTGTGAGGTGTTTGTGGGGAAGCTTCCCAGGGACGTGTACGAAGTTCAGCTGCTGCCTCTGTTTGAGAGTGTGGGCCAGATCTACGAGCTCAGACTCATGTTGGAGTTCAGTGGCCAGAACCGCGGCTACGCCTTCGTCATGTATGCCAACAGGTAACAAAGAGTGGACTCACAGGCAGGGGGCAGCATAACTCACACTGCACAAACAGGATTCTGTTGTATATCCGATCGATGATGATGTTGATGAAGAAACAGCCTGATGTTACTATATATCTGCTGCTTTTACTTTGAAAAGCCAGGGAGTGGTTCAGGCTCACGAGTATCGAATGATTGACTGTGATCATGAGGTGTTGGTGAATATTGGTTTTGTTGCAGAGAATCAGCGCAGAGAGCCATCCAGAGTCTGGACAACCACGAGATCCAGCCAGGGAAGTTCATCGGCGTGTGCATGAGTCTGAACAACTGCCGGCTCTTCATCGGCTCCATCCCCAAAGACAAGAGGAGGGAAGAGATCATGGAGGAGATGAAGGAGGTAAACACGACTCTCACCTGTTCACCTGCAGGACAATTTAAAGCAACACTGAGCAACAGCGCCCTCTGCAGTCAGACGTCAAAACATAATGAAAACAAAGACGACAAAGGGCCTCATTCACAAATTGGTTCCGAAACCTTGCGTACAAACGTTTCACACACAAATCTGATATTCATAAATATGTTCTAACCTAAATTTGTTGGTACTCTGCAAACAAATTTAGAACCATTTGTACGTATAAATGATGAAGGCTGTCCTAGAAAATGTAACCACACACCCTTTCAAGTGAATGCATAGTATATTAAAACTTTTATAGACTTTAATAAACTTTAACAGACATGTATTAAATAATCATGAAATCAAACACTTTCTCTCTCATTACTTGAACAAATTCCACTTAATTATGACCAATAATTGTCAGATCCGATATTCCTTGTTCTCCTCCTGTTATTTTTTTCTGGTCTGCGATTCGGTTTTTGGCATCAACTTTGATGTCAAACCATAATAAATAAATGATTGTGATTCACAAACATACTCAAAGTGGTGAGAACAATATTCACCGGTGCCCATGTGTCATGAATCCGGCAGAGGTTTTGCTCATGTGTCTGTGTCAGGTGATGGAAGGTGTGGTGGACGTCATCGTGTATCCCAGTTCCTCTGATGAGAATAGCAACAGAGGGTTTGCCTTTGTTGAGTTCGAGTCCCACAAAGCAGCAGCCATAGCCCGAAGGATGCTGCGGTCTGGTCAGTGTTGTTTTTTAAGTATTAAACATAAACACACACACACTCACTCTCGTCCTGCAGCTCCTCTATGTGTCCAGCAGAGGGTGGCAGAATACAAACAACCACACCAAGTTAAATCCTCCTTGAATCCAGAGGAAGAAAGCTATTTCAAAAAGGGAGGGAGAATAATGAAGAACTATCTTCTTCTTCTCCTTTTTTCATCTTCTTCCTCATCTTCTTTCCCTTCTACTTTATCTGTTTCTTCTTCTCCTCCCTCTTCAGTATCTTTGATGATATGACTGGCTCCGACCCATTGCTGCTTTTAGCACATATAATTCCTCTCTTTCTGCTTCTTATTTTCCTTCTTCCTCTTCTGTTTTTTTTAACCTACTTCTTCACCATTGTCTTCTTCCTCCTCCTTTTCTTTTTCTTCTTCTGCTTCCTCCTCCTCCTCTTCTTCATCCTCTTTTTTTTCTCAATTTCTTTCTGCTCTCTCTCTCTGCCCCTTTTCACCTCCCTCTTCTTCTTCTTCTTCTCCTTCCTCCTCTTTATCATCTCTGTCTTCTTGGTATTTTCTCATACCTGAGTGAAGTTTTGTCTCATTCATGTTTGGAGTTGGAAGTTGTCATGACTACAGGTTGTGACCCCGCCGTGACTCTGTGTTTAACAGGAACCTATAAGCTGTGGGGTCACAACATCCATGTGAACTGGGCCGAGCCTCAGAAGAACGTGACCGACGAGATTATTCAGCGCTTCAAAGTTCTCTATGTACGTACACTTGTGTGTGTATGGAGATTTTATCATACCTCAACAGCAACAACTAGAAGCCAGAGTGTTTTTTTTCCCCCCTGTATTTATTCCAGAGTGAGTTCTTTCAGTTTGACAGCAGGACTTGTTGATTTCATGTTCAGATTTTGTAATGCTTTCACTCAAAACCCTGCACTTGCACTCAAACAGCTCATGCTTGTGCTTAGATTGGCTCTGCTTGTTCAGGTGTTTTGTTACATGCAATCAGGTTTCCTGTACTTCAGCTTTAGCTCTTCTCCTCACGCTGCTTTTCTCTTTGTGATTTTTTTATGCAACAAGTCTATCAAAATTCTTTAGACGACAGAAATTGCCTCAGAAAGTGGAGAATCTCATGTCTAAATTTAAAGCTGGTCTCTAAAGGCTATGCTCGTCTTTTATTATTGGTCTTAAAATAACGAGTGAATCTATGTCCTTTAGACAGTCAGTGTTAAATCTCTTTAGGTTTTATCCTCAGTAAAATCCACCTGAGCCCTCAGAGTAAAAACTTTGAGTCTGTTAGTGATCGTCTCAGATTATACGTTGGGCCCTGTGTCTCGTGTTTCTGGCTCCAGGCCAACAAAAAAGAACCTGAGAGCAGCTCACAGCTATGTGGGAGGCCATGAGGGTGTGTCTGTGTGTGTCAATCTGCTGGATGATGAAGTAACCACAACTTTAAGATCACACTCTGTAGCATCGGCTCAGTCAAAATGTGTTTCGATTATTTTCTTGCATCACTGACACACTGACGCTGTCCTCTGTCCGTCACGTTCCCATATCTGTGGTGTTATGAAATCCTGTAGACGTGCTGCCATGATAGCAGCTAAACACATTTCCTGATTTTTTTGATGAATGACATAAATGTAAAATGTGTCAACAAGTTTACTCATTCACTGTAAATAAAGATGGAGGTCTCCACTTCCTCCCACTGTAAAAAAATAAAATCCCAAATATTTCAGATATAAACGCTGCCAACTTTTGGAGATGATGTAATTTGGATTTGGAGTCGTGAACAATAGAAGTGATCATGACATGCTAATAACAACATCAAAGATAGAGCAGTTTACAATAGTTTGGCTTTAAATTATTATAGATTTTTAGATTCTCCACTTTTTGAGGTGACTTGAATGTTGCCTCTACGACAACCAGAGCCAAGTCCGTTAAAACCAGAGACTTTAAATAAACATGGACATGTCTGCTTCCTCCCACGATTTAGAAATGAAGCTAAAACGTCTCAGATACAAATGCTGCCATCTTGTGGTGATGACATAATTTGGAGTGTTTCAGGTACGATGATGCAGGTGGATGATCGTCTTCTTGTTTCTCTGCTGCAGGTTCGTAATCTGATGCTGAGCACGACCGAAGAGATGCTCTTTCAAGAGTTCTCCCGCTTCAAACCAGGCTCCGTGGCATATGTTAGGAAGGTAGGTAATCACGCCTTCGTCCACTATCGCCACCATGAGGACACCATTGCCGCATTGAGCTCAATGAACGGAGTCCAGATCGATGGTGCCACTGTGGAGGTGATGCTGTCCAAACCAGTGGGAATGAGAAACAGGCGCGTGGCCGGCAGTGGCTACGGCAGCAGAACGAACCTGGAAAACAACGCAAGAGGAGGAGGCGCAAGAGTAGGAAACGGAGCATTTGCGCTGCACAGGAATGATGAGGGGATGAAGGGAGACCGTGAGGACGGATCTTCACCAAGGCGTGTCTCCATGCCGCCACACATGGTGAATCCCTTCTACTCAGGAACCGCAGGAGGTGAGGAGGAGAGGGTTGTATGTATTTAAGAGAGTGGGAGGTCAGAGTGGGTGAAGACTCTTTTCTTACTTTTACACCAGTGGAGTCATCTAAATTTAAATTGCATCAAATCATCTGCATAGAAACCTCAGTAAACTAGTTTCATAATAATAAGACCAAAACTTTCTAATTAATTATTTTTTTCCGACAAAACTTTCTAATTTATTATTTTTTTCCGACAAAAACTTTCCTAATTAATGTTCCAGCCTTTGACAAAGTTCCAGATGAATTGATTCAGGTCAGTGTGAAACATTTAACAAATTCAAACCTTTGGCTTCCATGTTACCTGCCTGTGAAATCCTCCAGTTTAATTAAATGTGGTGAGTTCTCAGTCGTCTAACTCAGTACGAAGGACGTCCATCAAGTCTCACCATCAGTGTATTGACATAGCTGTGATAAAAATCTGGTGATGGAGCAAAACTGCTCGTTTCCTGATGCCGGCAGACATTTCAGAAAATGAGAAAAGTTTCAGAGTTAACTCTCCACAAATGGACTGTGAAATATTTATGAGACGGAAGATGTCATTGCAACGACAATGAGAGAGAGAGAGAGAAAGGGAGAGAGTGTGTGAGTCAGTCCGGGGGGGAAAGGAGGAATGGATTCACAGAGATGGACAGAGGAAAGTGAGGACTAAAGATGATCCGTGATGGTGGGCGTCTGCACAAGTCTAGTTTTTTATAGTATGTAAAACTCTGGAGTAGTGTGGATGCATTTGTAACCATAGCAACCATACACTGTAAATTAAGTTGGATGACATGAGGTGGAACATTAATTTGACCTGAGGCAGGTTCCTGCATCTTCAAACTTTCTGTTTGTCACCATGTCCTACCTAACGAGGGCTGAAATGAATCCCGTGTTTGTCGTCGTGTTTTCAGGTGACCTGGACAGTTGTGTGTTCCCGCTCTTTCCCGGCACCCCCCTCTCCCCCACCAGCCTGCTGTCGCTGAAGCAGAGTCAGATCAACTCTGCCGTCAGCCTCCTCGACTTCTACTGCCACAGCAACTGCTGGTCGCAGCCCGAGTACCAACTGTTCTCCACCCCGGGACAGGATGGACAGCTGTTGTTGCTCTACAAGGTACAACACTGCTCCTCATATGGCTCGATTCAGACCGCTGCACGATTTAAAACGCTGCTCTACTCTGTGATTGATGACACAGAGCTGTATGTGTGCACTAATGCAGAGTGTTGTGCACGAGGTTTGTTATTCCAGTGTCAGGACGCCCCACTGTGTGTTAGTGTTTTGATTAATTAGTTTCAGCTTCACTCATCGTCATGTTCCTCATTTGATTTCACTTTTCTCACAGCAGGGGTTCAGTAAATAACATTTATTTTAATATGAAGATGTGAAGTAAGTAAATAATATTAGAATAAAAAACTGACAACCTGAAGACAGTAGATCAAGTGTGTGTGTGTGTGT